TTGCAAAAGATAATAATGGAATCTTTTGCAATTCTACCAACGTAACCCAAAAAAAAAAAAAAAAAAAAAAAAAACAAATCAACAAGTAAGCGAATGATGCATTTTCGAAATGTTAAAAAATTAAAAAAAATTTGTATGAAATATTTTTTATGTACGTTAACGACGACAGCAAAAATAAAACGACAGCATAAATAATAATTCGTTGGCTTGTTTTTAAAAAATGGACGACAGCTTACATAAATAAATAAATAAATAAAAATTATACGTAACCTTGATGGCGTATAAAAAAAAAAAAATATTTATGACGCGTTGAAAAGCAAGCGGAGATGCCTGAACTTGAAAATTTAATTTTATTCAATTATAGTCGTTGTTCGTACTCACACAAAGATTTCATTTCTCATCTAGTTGGATTCGAATAAGGATCAATTGAAGTAAGTTTAAAAAAAATTTTTTTTCTTTTTTTTTTTTTTTTTCCTTTCTTGTTTTAACCTTGGTTGATCCGGTCTGAAAAAAAATATTTTTAAATTATCATTATTATTATCATCATCATTTTTTTTTTTGTGTAATATTATTTTACCAACCGGAAATATTATTTTCACAAGTTTAAACTCATTTTAAATTAAAAAAATTTTCTTTGTTTTTTTGTAAAATTAATTCTACATGTATAAAAAAAAAAAAGGAAATGATTTCAATTTTATATATACATATATTAATTAAGGGAAACAAAATTTTTGAATAATTTATTATTTTTTAAAAACGACTTGCTTAAATTATTTTACATTAAATATTTATTTAATTGCGTCATTTATTTATTTTTTTTTTGTGAAAATAAATTTCAATTCATAAATGATTCAGATTTATAAGTGAATTTTATGTATTTAAAAAAAAAAAAAAAATTTGAAATTCTTTTTAATTAAACATTCTTTTATTATCACTGACATAACATTTGAAAACAAAAGAAAGGCGAGGAGCGTTTTTTTTTTTCAAGCAGACGACGCTTTCGTTTGTTTGTTTGTTTATTTATGTTTTAATCATAATTCGATTGTGTTAAGGTTAAGAAACGGATTTATTTGAATTGTCGAGAAAATGAGTCCGAAATACAAGCTTATTTATTTTCCTGTCACCGCATTGGGTGAACCCATAAGATTTTTATTATCCTATGGAAATTTAGAATTTGAAGATTATCGTTTTAAACGAGAAGATTGGCCGAAAATCAAACCTTGTAAGTAATACCACCATTTTAACCTCTCCTCTTAAATCATTTATTTAAAACGTAATAAACTACAAATTTATTTCATCAGCCATGCCCTTTGGTAAAACTCCCGTCCTTGAAATTGACGGTAAGCAAACCCACCAATCTGCCGCCATTTGCCGGTATTTGGCGAGACAACTTAAACTGACCGGTAAGGACGAATGGGATGCATTCAACGTTGATATGGTAATTGATACGATAACCGATCTTAGACAACGTAAGCGAATAAAGAAATTTAATTATTCCTTTTTTTCTTTTTTTTTTTTCTTACACTTGATAAAATCATTTCGTCGTTTTATTTTAGAATTGGCCAATTATTTTTACGATACGAATCCGACAACCAAAGCACCCAAATTGGAACCATTACAAAAAGAAACTGTGCCTTATTATTTGAAACGTTTGGATAAAATTGTCGAAGAAAATGGCGGTTATTTTGTTGGCGGACAGGTAAGAGTTACAACAATTTTTTAAATCTAATATTCCTACATAATAAAAAAAATTTTTACATGCTATTCTTGTATAAATTTCAATTCGAATAGTGTGTGTGTATATAAAAAAAAAATTTAATTTATTACATAAATGCGATGAAATTCTCATCGTTATGAAATTTATACAAGATATTCTTGCCAATAATAAAGTTGGCAATACTGTAATCATACATAAATATGTATAAAATTAATTATTAACAAACATTCCAATTCATAAATGCATGTAAAAAAATTTTTTGTACTTTATGTATGATTACAGTCTATGTAATTATTACCATGTAAATCAAATCGATGATTAATATCAAACCTATTCCCTTGTTTTGTCTAACCCGACAGGTTTTAATTATTATTATTATTATTAATTCCCATTAAACACATTGAGAATTAGTAGAATTTTTAATATGAATTATTTATTTTTAGCTTACCTGGGCTGATTTGTATTTCGTTGCCGTTTCGGACTATTTGCAAAAAATGGCAGAATTAGATTTTTTCTCAGATTATCCAAATCTTCAAAGTCTCAAGAATAAAGTTGTCAACATTCCGCAGATAAAAAAATGGATAGAAAAACGTCCGGCAGATAATTTGTAATAATGTAGTTGATATTAATCAGTTGTTTAAAAACTAAAAAAAAAAAAATAAATAAATAAATAAATACAACACATACGCAATATAGTGTGCATTCATGTTATTGTCAGATGCCAAATATATAAAAAAAAATTTTTTTTTTTTTTTTTAATTAAATAAATTATTTATTTACACACGTCTACCTGAAAATTCGAGTTGACAAAAATTTTAAATGCATTTTTTCCTTTGTATATCCTAAAGCCAAAATTTTTAATTTCGAAACGTTTTAAAGTAAAAAATAGTTTATTGACCTCCATTTCCTAAAAAAAATAAAGAAAAAAAATTAATTTGAAATTTTTGTATTGCTTTTATGAGATTTAATAATTATTTTTTATTCATGGTCAATTTAAATAAGTGCGACAAAAAATATATAACTCACGATATATTGCGTGACGCCATTTTAATGACTAAGAAATTACATATAAATTAGTTAGAAAAAAATTTTTTTTAACCGTTGAATTTGTTTTCACTTTTTATAAAAACCTTCAATAAAATGGCGTTCTATCATTTTAAAATAATTTTAGTATTAAAATCTATATTAGGTAATATATCATGACAATATCAAAACAATTTTATAAAAAATTTTAAGTGACAAAATCATTTCAAATCTGTTATTTTCACTCTTTTAAAATTTTGATAAATAAGATTATAAGTGTTTCCTTAATGGGTTTTTCTCTTTTTTTTTTTTTTTTTTTTTGTAATTTGAAGTAATAATTTCATTTACTTAATCCTTTTTTTGATGTGATTTAAATTTATCAAAGTATTTTTTATAAATTATATTAATTATTTAGTTATATATTATATTTCATCGGTTGTTTATTATAACGAACGGTTTTTTTTTTACCTTTTTTTTTTTTTTTTTTTATATTGAAAAAATGAAAAGTCATCGCGATGGAAATGAACACATATCCCTGTTTTTCAAGGTTAATGGACTTTGGATATCCCTGTCACGCAATTGAGCGTAGAGTGGGCCAAACTTAACAAAGCCGAAGACTTAATTTCAGTATTGTTTGTAATCTCTTACAACTTGGTTGTTGTTGTTTTTGTTGTTCAGCATCTAAAAAGTAAGTAAGTATTATTATTATTATTAATAACGTAATTCATGCAAAATTTTCAAGTTAGAGAACGTATTGGTTTTTAATTTAATTAACATTTTTGCCTTCTATGATAAAAATAAAATATTAATTTTTTTTTTTTTTTTTTTTATTAAAAAGATGCCTTGTAATTAAGTAGACATTGTTAAATATATAAAATAATAATGATAATTTTTTAAATATCCAAAAATTACAGTTTAAAACACGTATCGAAAAGTTTTGACGTCTTAAATTATTATTATTATTATTATTATTATTATTATTATAATAAATATATTTATTTAACGTTATCGCTTTAAAATAAACTTTTTGAAGTAATAATAATAATAATAATTTTAAGCTTAAATTTTTCATAAATTGAATTTTATACACTTATCATTATAATCAATTATTTATTTATTTATTTATTTATTATTTTAAAAAAAAAAAAAACAAATCTGTTTACTCTATGATTTCATAAATGTGTATCCCCTTAAAACGTTTTTTTTTTTTTGAATTTACACGTACATTTGTAGAAAGTAGAATAATTTTCCGGCTTTGGTGAAAATCCTAATAAATTTTTTATAAAAATTCAAATTGGTCTAAAGTTAACTTGTAGTGTAGTTAAAAGAAATCCAAATAGGGGGGAATTTGATTTTATTTGCCACGTCAAATCTTGTTAATATAATTATTATGCGATTCCGATCAAAAACCAGATTTTGAATGAATGAATGAAATATCTTCGGTAAAAAAAATTGATTTAATTATGGATTTATAAGTTTTGAAAATATTTCTAAAAAAAAAAAATTCCATAAAACATTAATTCATGAACTGGAAAAAAAAGATGTGTAACCACAACAAAAAAAAAAAAAATTACAATTTCGAATTGACGTTCCCCTTTGACGTACGTTTCTCAGAAAAAATTGATTCGGAAAAAAAAGAAAATGGCGTAAATAAATTCCTTTATTATATATTTACCAATATTTTAAAAGAATTAATTAATGTTTTTATTTTAAAAAAAAACCGATTTCATTACTTTTTTAAACAAAAAACATTATTGAGATCATCCTAAAGTAAAAAACTTGACTTTCAATTACAAAAAGTTTTTGATTTTTTTCTTCTCATTGTTGCCAACTTAAATAAAATGTTTTTTTTTTTTAAAAAAACCGTTACTTACTATTGACCCGAAACTTTTAACGTCTCTTTCTTTCTCTCTTTTGTTTTTTTCTCGAATTGATATATTGTAATCTTTTTTTTTTTTTTTTTTTTTTGCTTTAATTAGAGTAAACAAATCGTAAAAATAATAATAATAATAATTATTGTTGTTTGTTTGTTTGTTATTAATAGTTTTTTTTTTTTAACAATTTAAATCTTATCTGAATATATATATGGATAAAACCCAGGGTAATTTTTATTGATTATATTTCTAAAAAAAAAAATTTGTTTTCTACGAATTTAAATGGCGAAATGTTTTCTCCGAATCCGCTATTTAAAGTTTCCATATAATTATCATGCAACCGTTTACAACAAACAACAACCAATAAATTTATAACGAAAGAAAAACGTCTCTTTCGTGTTTTTTTTTTTTTTTTTCTATGCGTCCGCCATTAAAAAATTATTCGTTGTATTTTATTATACATTTCACATTTGTTAGATTTTCTGTGTTTGATTTTTTTTTTTTTTTTAATTTTTTGCATCTCGTCTATTTTTTTCAACCGCAAAAAATTTAAAATTAAAAAAAAAAAATTCAATTCCTAAAAATTTACTCGGTGATTGCGTAAGAAATTGTCTTAAGTTTAAAACCAATATTGAATTTCTGATAACAAACAAGTCGTCTGCGGTTAAATAGAGAGAGAGAGAGAGAGAGAGAGAGAGAGAAAAAGGCGTTTTTCTTCGTATCATTATGCAAACAAACAAACAAACAAACAAACGAACGAACGAACGACAACATCATCCATTAATTTTAAAAAAATATTTTAAACCTTCTACAATTAAAAAAAAAAAATTTTTTTTATACAATTTTTTTTGGATTATGGATCGATTCCTCAATTATTATTATCAATCGTTCAATTAAAATTATTATTAATATTATTATTATTAATAAACATTTAATTACGTTAAAAAGTGCGTATTAATTATCGCAAACGCCCATTCATCAACTAAATTGATTATTACTTTTAAAATAATTATTTTCATCATGTTTGATTTTAATAA